AATAATAATTTTTTAAGAAAGTAAAAATTAAATACTCAAGTAGAAAATTCCTAATAATAGAGGTTGTCAACTCATAGTATTTATTTTTTTTGTCAAAAAAAGATAGTGTTTAAAGGAAATTATAATTAGGTTGAAATTATTTAAATACAATTATAATCGAGAAAATATTTTATTTTAAAATTTAATATTTTTTGTTTTTATTTTAAATATGTAAATAATTAATAAAATTCAATGATCATTTGAACTTTTTATATATTTTTCAAAATTATCGAATGAGTTATTAATAAAGAAAATATTATAAGAATAAAAATTATATACCATAGTTTGAAATTCTCTTTGGTATAATATAAGAGAAAAATTACTCTTACGTTACATGTGATAAATTTCTCTCCTACACACCCTTCGATAACTGTGCCATCTTTTTTTTTTTTTTTTCAGATGGTGGAGCCACAAGTTTATCTCTATGATATGAGATAACTTATCTCCTTTAACATGAGATTAATAAAACTCATAATATAAATATAGATAAAAACAAAATGACACTTGAAGCCGGAATATTAAAATAAGGGAAAATGATATTATGATAAAAATTGAAATTATTTATTTTTTCTCACAATATATTTTAATTTGACTTAATTGTACTTTTAGTACTAAATTATGGTCATTATATAATTTTAGTCATCTGGTAATTTTTTATTTTGTTTAAATACATCATTTTATGATTAGTTTATTTATACTAAAATATTTAAATAATTTAAAAATACTTTTGGATCAATTGAGATACCAACTCATAAAGTGTTAATTATATCACATATGGTAATCACATCATTGACTTCTGAGTGCTGATAGTGATAGTAACTAAACAACAAATCGATAAAGGGATCTAACTTTTTTAATAAGAAAATTGAAAATTTGATTACTGTAAAAAAATTATTAAGAGAACCAAAATTACAGATTGACTATAGTAAAAAATATATATGTTTCTACTAAAATGGTAAGAACGAAAAGCTTACATAAAGAAGCTAACTCGACAAAAGAATTATGTCAGGTTTAATAAATAATCGAATTCCAGTCGTTTAAGCAATAAGGTTGGGATGCTAAAGGTATAATCTATCGTGGAATAGATGCTGCTTTTGATATTTTATTAGCCACATGTTAGTTAGGGGAAATTTTTTTTTGAAGAGAATTTTTTTTTTTACCGAGAAAAATTAATTTTTGAAAATATAATGAATTTTTTTTTTCTATGTTAAGTTACTAAAAGGTATTTGGTAGGTCAAATTTTTTTCGAAAATATTGGATTAATTTTATGAATGTTGTGTGTTGATTTTTCCATCACATGAGGAAAAACAATTTCATCACATTAATAGTAATCTTCCATAACCATTTTATATGAAAAAGCAAATGATGGGAAAAAAAAATTTCAGCCATACTTTTATTTCACCTCCTACTAAACATAGGTAAATAATTTTCCCTATCCAATTTTTTTAGAAAATTTTTTTTACCTCTTATCAAACACCCGCCTAAAGGGTTATTAACCTTTATTCTTAAGCGTGGATCAAAACTTCTTGCTAGGAGACTAATGTCAAATGTCTCGAGACAATAGAAGAGCATTTGTACGAATTGTAAAAAATAAATTCAAAAATAAAAAAGATAGAAAAAATGGAAAAGAAAAGAGAGAGTGATTATTGTGTATTTACTCGATTTTATATAGGGATTTGATTTTCTCATATTGCATGAGAATTCAATTCTCATGTTATGACTCAACTATTGGTGGGCCTCACATTTATTAAAAAAAGAAAAGTTTTGCACGCAAATCGAAGGGTCACAACATGAGAATTGAATTCTCATGCAACATGAGAATTGAATTCTCATACAAATGAGAAAATGTTTTCCCTTTTATATAATCACTGTGTGGTTGACGAAGGAAGATATCACAACTTAATTCAGAGTCCAAAACCGGTGCACAGGCCATTTAATCTCACTATTGATTAGTCTTAAACAAGCCTAATTTTAGCGAAAATACCTATTTATAAAAATAATGGAGCAACTTTAGAATATAAACATATAAGTATTTGTTGGGCCGAGAGATGCTCTGAGATAATATAAGAGCAAAAACGTGTAGGGAAAAAAATTACTACGAGGAGTAATCAATCAAATGAGGAGCAACTCTACCCAAGATGCACAAGCGCACGCGTCAACCAATATAGGGTTTAATGTGAACCCCAGATTATCGTCTTTAAGGAACAATTGTAAAAGTGACATTTAAAAGAAGTGTAAATAAGAAATAAAAAATTGAGAGCAAACAATAGGTAAGGAGCAATTCACTTCAAGGAGCAGATTTGTTCCCAAACCAAGGTTAGCCAACAAGCACTTGTCACTAGCTGGTTGAACAGAATCAAATAATTTGAGTGACTAAGAGCTGGGTTTTCCCCTTAAGTTTTATTGAACTTTGCCTTAAAGGAAATTGGAAAACGTGGGAATTAAGAGCAATGAACAGAAAATAAAGAGATTAGGAGCGACAGTGACAGAAACAGAGAGCAAAACATTAATTCTTTTGGGATTTTAAATAAGTAACAAAAGATAAATAAAATAATATAGAATCAAGATTCAAAAAAATCGTTGGCTTAGGTTTGTATTTTTGCCCTCTTGGTCGTTCCTACAATGTCATAAGTTTTCAGAAACAAAATATGCTCCTATCAACCTTTAAGGTTTCAGAGACAGATTGCTCTGTCACCAAGTTTTAACACCCAAGTAGTTTGGAGCAAAGGCCTTTTACACCAAACTACTTTAAGAGTCCTATTAGTTAAAACTCAAGGGAGATCATGTTTGCCTTCTCAGAAGAGCATAGCTGAAGGGATAACTAACAAAAGTGATGTACACACAAGAGTGCTCCTTCTTCTGGATATTCCCTTGATTCAGAGCAAAATATCTTAAGATTTCTAATCTTGCTCCACACTACCTTGTGAGGGTCTCATCGACCGAGTGGTCCCAGGATGACATGGCAAACCAAGGGGCATCACAATATTAGAACATTAAACCAAGAAACAATACATATTTCATTAAAGAAAACAGATTTTCATTTCAAGTTCAGCCTAAGACAAAGAGGGGTACTTCTACTTCACCCTTGCCTACTAAAAATAACTGACTCATACTAAGGAACATAATGAAATCTTAAATACAAAAAGAAAATAAATAAAAAGAGGAAGAAGAGAAGAATTTCCTAAGGAGGACGTTGAGTCCTCTCCAAGAGTGCCAAAAGCTTCCGAAAGTTGTGAATTCTTCAGTATTTATACGTGAAAGGTTCCTTAAAGGTGTTGTCTTGGTCATTAATTTAATCAATGCTGCATATTTCATCAGTGCTCCCAACAATTAGTGACGTCACTCCTGACAGATCAGCCCTAAAACCTTCTTCTTATTCTGAAATTTGGTGATGTGATGTTGCAAGCTGTTATGCCTAATGTTATTAAACTCGACCCGGTCATCGACCCGGTCGAGGTACCGAGTCACTGGTTCAACCGCATGACTCGGTAAGTATATACAAATTTGTAATTTTTTTTTTTGTAAATAAATTTGTAATTTTTATTAAAAAAAAACTATTAACACACTCAAATACCTGTAAAAAATGATATCAATTCCAAATATTATAATTTGAAAAGCAATAAATCACACAACATTTTTCAACAAAAGATCAAACAAACATATAATATTTGTCCTGTCCTTAAACATTTAATATCCATCACAAGTCTACAACAATAGTTTTTTCACTATCAAGAGAAAACAAACAGATCAAATTGCTAGCACAAGAACATATAATCATTCCCAAGGAGGCAAAGTTGTGTCAATTAATTCATGCTCTCCTTCTTCATTGCCTTCAGTTTGATTTGCATTTTCCATGGTGTTGTCTTGTGCCTTATCTTCATCATCATCATCCAAATTTAGTTGATCTAAAACAAATGCCAATTTTTCATGTATGTTAGTTATTAACATGAAGTAGTCAAACAATCAAATAATCATAAAACAATAAATAAACACACCTGTGTCATCTAGAGTTGGTTGAATGGACATATGTGCAAGCTCCGTCCGTAAAGCTTCCATTTCTTCAACTGTTAAGTATAGTGGTGATTCCTCCAGTACCCAATTAGAGTGGTCCTCAAATGTTTCAAAATTTATTGGATCATAATTTTGATGCTTCAATCGACTCCTACGTTTATTAAATTTCCCAATTTTCAAAATTAGAAAATACTTGGAGAAATAATTATATAAAAAAATACTCAATAATACCTTTGTGCTAGCCTCAAGTTATAACGAACATAGACAAGATCATTAAGCTTTTGATGCTCTAATCTATTTCTCTTATTCGAATGAATGTGTTCAAATGTGCTCCAATTGCGTTCACAACCCGAAGCACTACAAGTTTGACTTAAAACACGAATAGCCAATTTTTGCAAATTTGGTGCACCACATCCATAAGATTCCCACCATTGATCTAGAATATTGCATGTGATAAATTAGTATTAATATTATTCAACAATAATAACAATTAATGCTCATCAATAAATAAAGATATAAACCATAAATTTTACCTGGCATCACGATATTCCGTTCACGTTTAGCAGATGGCCTTCCAAAATCTAACTCAACATTTTTGAATATTCTCATCTCACTTGTCAACTTAGAATTTAAATCAGGATTCCCATAAGCATATCTCTCAATGACATCCAAAAGGCCTGATGTTGTGAATTTATGTTTTTCAAATTCTTCATTATTGAAACGACAACCTGGATTCAACCAATAACCAGCGGCATGAAGATTTTTGCGAAGCTGTGAATTCCAACGACTATCTAAGTTGGTCAAGCAAGGCTCCACCTTCTTCTTATTTCTTTGAAATCTCCTAATCATCGCCTCTTTAGCTTTAAATATAGCTTGATAAAGAAAACCCATGGCGGGTTTGTCTTCACTATCAACAATACGCAACACACGAATAAGTGGCACAGTAAGCTTCACAATATCAGCTTCACAATATCAGCACATTGTTTCCAAAAATTAGAATCTAAAACTTGTTCCACAAATTTTTTTGCCTTGGCCTGTTTAGAATAAGCTGAGCTTGTCCAATCTCTAGAAGTTACCGTAGCCCTTAATGCATCCTTTTGAGCCAATATGCTATGTAAGGCAATAAAATTAGTGGCAAAGCGAGTCGGAGCTGGACGAAGTATTTCCCTTCCACCTGTATATTTTCTCATCAAATGCAATGGATGACAATGATTATAGATGTATTTGGTAATTTTGGCAGCATGAGACACAACAACACTTACTTCCTCTAACTTTCCAAAGTCATGTAACATCAAATTTATACAATGAGCAGCACAAGGAGACCAAAATATAGTAGGAAACTCAGCCTCCAATAACCTCCCAGTAGCAACATAATTTGCAGCATTATCAGTCACAATCTGAACAACATTTTCAGGGCCAACATCTAACACCACATCTCTAAAAAGCTTATACAATAAATCTGCAATTTTTGAAGCATTAGAAGCATCAACCGACTTCAGAAAAATAGTTCCTTTTGGGCAATAAACTAGAAAATGGATAAGAGTTCTCCTACAACGATCAGTCCACCCATCTGCCATAATAGTACATCCTGTTTGCTTCCAAACAGTGCGATAACTCTTAACAAGTTTCTTGACTTCGCCAACCCACTTATTCAACAAATGACCACGAACTCTGTAAAAGTTTGGACCTTTATACCTTGGACCCATGCTACAAATAACATCAATCATTGGCTGGTAATATGATGAATTAACAGCATTAAATGGCACACCAGCATCAATCATCCATTTGGAATTGCGATGTCACACTTCTCCATTACTTCTTTACTCTGCAACACACTTTTAATGCCAGGTTAAGCTCCAGGAGTTGTTCTAGAGGATTAATATTCTTCCCCTTTTGAGATGTAGAAGGAGCTTTTCTTGATGGATTTTCTAGTACTTCATCAACTGTTAGCACTTGATGTTCATCAGATGGATTACTGTCTTGATATTCCTCTTGAACTTTTCTTTTTTTGTTCCTGCATTCATCAATATTTTGCTTCATTTGAAAACGAATATCTACCGAAACCTTCTTGCATTGTTCAACTTGCCCTTTTTCTCCGGCCAAGTGGGTTTTAAGCCAATTGATGCCACCTCCCCTAATTATCTTATCACAATAAAGACACACTAGAACAACTTTTCCATTCTCTTCAACAAGTTGTTTACAGTGTGCCCAACTTGGACCAGTTTTTCCCTGTGTTGATTTCTTTGAGATGAATGTTGAGATGAAATTTCTTGTGAGATTGGTGCTTCAATTTGAGTAGAAGACATCTCTAGCTTTAATAAAATAAAAAATTCCTGCAATAATTACAAGTTATTTGATATTGGTAAATTCAAATATGCTGATTAGAGAAAAATGCATGTATGAATTGAATTGAATTTAATAAAATAATACCATTTACAATGAGAAGTCAAGTCTGTTATAACTAACATCCAGTAATGATGTTATGGCTATACCATTTAATGAATTGAATTCTTGCATTTATTTCAAAAGTTGGGGACCAGGCTTATGAAACAGATATGAACCCCAGCTTTGGGTTAGGTAAATGCATAGTTTCTCACAAGTTTAAGTGAATTCAGGGATGTAATTAGTAAATTTCCACATAGACTTTTAGGATACATTGGTAATCCTCCTAAAAGATACCCAGAGGATGTGAGGAGCAATATGTAATATAAATATTCTAGTTAGGTTTTCCATTGTCTTACTTATTTACCTTCCTTTAAAAAAAAATTAAGTCTTCTCGTCCCCTTCTGTACTCCTCTACTACTCCCTAATAAAATTTGTATTCTTTTTGTGGAAAAAGATATTCCAAAACCCATTCAGAATCAGAACTTTACATGATGGGGAAGGTAATAGGGTAACTTTCCCTCCAGGAGACATAGATGGCAGATGATTTTGTCTCCAATGGAAAAGGTAGGGATGTAAATATACCAAGTGGACTACCAAATGCCTACGGCCTAGCTTGACCTAGTAAGTTTAGTAAAATAAAGCATAGGCCTACTTTTCAAAGGCCAACCATTCAATTCAATCTCAAGTGAAGCAAAAAAAAAATCCATATAAATATCAGACAACATTATTGTAAGTTATAAATAAAGTAGTCCTGATGTTGAATATTGTAATAGAACTGCACCACTACCCATTCATTGGGAGATAGAGGGAGAGAATTTGCCATTGCTCATTGCTCGTGCAAAATAAAGTTGGTCTCTTAACCACCAAAAAAACTAAAAGGCAGTAGCATAAATATCAAGTTTAACATTCTCTGCCCATGTAACAGCACACAACCAAATATTTCAAGAACTAATATAACTAATAAACCTATGTTAGAAAGGTCCAAGGTTTCTAAAGGCAGTAATTTAACAAAAAAAGTGTCATATTTCTTAGAATTGATTAGGATAGTTTCTTTTTCCTCTTAATTAGAATTGATTTAGTTTCCTTATTTCACTCACATGCAGTATGTACATATGGTGTAATCTATCATTGTTGGAATGCAATTCAATAGAAAGTAATTATTGCTTTTTGTACATAGATACATCTTGGATGGCAGTAAAAAACAAAAAGAAGTAAAGAACAATATTCTTTATTCGGTACATCCACTTTCTTTGGATGGAAAATAATCTAACAAACAAAAAATAAACAATGTAAATAATAATTAATAAAAAATTAACAATAATCAACAACTTGAGTCTTGATTCTTGAAGGTTACCTGTTCACGCTTGGCTTCACGCTTCAAAAATAACAAAAAATCCCTCCCTTAAGCTTGGCTTCAAGCTTCAACTTAAACATTCCTTCAATCGATTCTCAAGGTATCATCTTCGCAACTATGGAATAATCAGATCTGTTTATGGTTCTCTTTTTCTTCTTCGGGTGGAGTAGATTTGCTTCCACTCTCTCACAGTCTCAGTCGTTCTCTGTTTTTTTTTTTGGCCTGGGTGCTTTGTTTGTGCCTTTGTGGTTTGTGATGGACAACACCAGTTCTGAGTCACTTCTCATTTGACCCAACGACGTCGTTTTTGTTTTTTTTAAAAAAATATACATGACCCAGCCGGTTCAACTAAAAACCGGTCGGGTCACCGGTTCTCTCAAAACCCGGCCTAGTCGTACCGGTTTACTCTGGGTCTGTTACATTCCCGATCCAAAGAGCTAATCGGACCGGTCAGGTGATCGGTTTACCGGGTTTCGGGTCGACCCGGCCGGTTCGGTCCGGTTTTTTCATCATTGGTTATGTTGTTCCCTCATCTATACTCTACTGATGTGTCCGCATCCAATTGGTTGCTTTTTCTGCAAAAAAGGACGTTGTACAGTGCTTTTTTTGCTCCTTCTGATTTGTGTCCTTTTTTGTCTCCCTTTGTCTTTTTCTCCTTTTTTTCTCTCCAAGTTTGCTTCCTTTCTAAATTAGGCCTATTTTAAATGGTTATTGGGCCTCCTAAAAATGAGAAATAATTTCTTAAGCCCAAAAATAATAAAAATAAACCATTTCACACTCAGATGCTACTTGTTTTCTAGAATTACGAATTGCTCTAGCCTTGTTTATCAATAATTTGTATTTAGGAGTAAAAACTGAGTTAGAGCAGCTATTTTACAATGAAAATTTGGATTTGAAGAGTAATTAACCTATCAATGGACCTCAATTTTTGAGGCCCATCAACAAGTCTTCTAGAAAGTGTAAACCTTGTCCACACATAATGATATGTCGGGCTCACCACCAAAAATCAAATAAACTCTCGCGATCAAACCAGATAAGTGAAATCGGAAGCAAACTTTGTACCTTTACCTGCTAAAAATATAAATAAGATTAGGGTGAGTTGCAATGTAACTCAATGAGTAAACTATAGTATCTATAACAAGCATGACTTGGCAACATATAAAATTAATATTTTAGTTCTAAATAATAAATATAAGTAATCCGTAAATCCTAAATCAAATTATGTGTAGCATAAATTAATATTGTACCAAAATAATATACTAATGAAATCTAACAACAAGGTTGAAAAATAAATTATCAATTCTTAAAATCTAGAAACTCATATAATATACTCAGATATAATTGCAAAATATCAATTTTGGGCCACCCTCTCGATCAGGCTCCCCACTAGACTCCCCGCCTGAAAATATAATCACAACAATACCACACTTGCATTAAATTAATAATAAGCTCCCTGCCCATAAATAAGTTATGGTGCACCAAGGCTAACATTTACTATTGTTAGCATCATTGGCGAACCCACGTTTGTACAACTGTCTGCAAGTGTAGACACAAGTTTGTTGGGGGGGGGGGGGATTTCACTTCTAGTTTTAACAAAGTGACTGCGGGGGTTTCGTTTTTTGTGACGAGGAGGTTTCATTTTTTGAATAAAATATTATTCCATTATCACAGGGGGTTTTGTTTTATAGAATAAGAGGTTTTGTATTTGAATAAGAATTTAAAAAAATAATTTGTTACTCAGTTTTTTTAATTTTATTTATTTATTTTCTTTGTATATATCTAAATTTTTTCTAATTGATTATTTCTTTTTCGTTTATTTGATTTTAAATTTATTTGGATTTGGTATTAAATGTTAACATTAACATGAACAATTATTGCAATATTCAATATATCATCATAAACAAAATTTATTTTTCTATATAATCCTAACCATCAAACATACCCGATTATATCTAAGAAACAGCTAAGCCAATTTCTCCAAGCAGGTGCCGGTTTCATTCTTATTCTCTCATTCAAAGGGTTGTCTTTCTTTCTTCACACTTTTTTTTATATTAAAAGATACAAAGTGAAGAACTTGGTATATTTTCTTGTGTCCCATATCAAAATCTTGTCTTGTTTCAAAATTTATTAACAATAACCTTAAATTACCAAATCCCTATCTCTACTATGTTCTCAGTTATTTTCTCTTATTCATTTTCAGGTTTTTGTTTGGCCAAGTGAATTTGATTGGATTTACTTCAGTTGACCCTTGATTTTAATTTAATAGGAACGTGTAAAGTTTTCAACTTTATTAGATAATCACGCAATTTGGTATTGGTGTAGAATTTTTGTTTGGTAGGAAAGGCCATTTCTCAAATGGCTTTATTGTCTGGGCCTCAAAAGGCATTTATGATTGTGTCTTCGGTCAGGTTAGCCTTTACCACACATTCACTCTAAAAATAGTAAATTAGGACTCTAAAAAATATTGGTCTTGACAACATAATTATTGTTAGAGTTATTTCAGAATTTTCAATTCTGCTAGGTGTATCTATGAATGTTTTAATCATGATTGTTTGTTGATTCTCTAATTTATTTATGTTTGATTGTAATATAGAATAACTTTGGTTGATTCTCCAAAGCTTTACTTTTGAAGTGGAAGCAAAAATTGGATCAGGATGTTGAAACATTGAGAGCACAAACAATTGTGGGTTCGTAGTAATTCGACAAGTCTCAATGAAAGGTAACTTTCTATATTTTGTATTTGTTATAACTGTTTTAATAGCAACAAACAATATAATTGATATTTACTTTTGGATTTTAGGTTGTAATTGTTTTAATAACATAATGAGTGTAATTGATTTAAGTATAATTTATGATTTGTCAGGAATACAAACTTATTTCAAACGTCTAAATCCCACAGATATAAAACCCGAATCTCAAAGTGAACAAGTTTCAAATAGTATTTCAGTTCCAATTGTCCAAGAATCCTATCAACCTCAGAGACAAAATGTTCAAATTATGGAAAATTCCGCTCAATCTCAAAGACAAAGTGTACCACCACAA